TGGACAAAAGCTAAATCTCTGGCGAAGTAGTTTGCTGTGGCTTTAAACTGTGTGTATTGTTTTTTGTTTCTGTGTGCTTGGAGTAAAAGGTCTTGGCAGGCAGCTACGGAGCTGCTGCCAAGTTTCTTATCTGTGAAGTGGTGTCTGGAGAAGTCTTTAACCCTCGGCTGGCTGTTTGGGTGTGTGGGTCAGACGGGTACAGAACACAGGGAGCTCCCGCTGTATTCATGCAGTTGATAAATGACATGCTAAGGGAGCATCTGTACAAAGGCGTACTCGTTTATCTGGATGACATCCTTATATTCATGGAGACCATGGACGAACATGTCAGACTGGTCAGAGCAGTCCTAAACAAGCTACAGGCAGCTCATCTCTATGCAAAACTTTCTAAGTGTGAGTTTCATAAGGATAAAATAGATTATCTGGGATACAGCATATCCCCAGAGGGCATAGAAATGGATCCTGAGAAAGTCCGAGCAGTGCTAGAATGGGCGCCACCCCGCACTAGGAAGCAATTGCAGAGCTTCCTGGGATTCGCCAACTTTTACCGGCAATGTATTCCCTCCTTTGCCCAAATAGCCTTACCAATCACAAATTTACTGAAAACCAGAGGGGAGGGAAAACCCAAGCCAAGCTAGCCATTAAAATGGACAGTAGAATGCCAAGTCGCATTTGAGAGGCTGAAAAAGCTGTTTTCTGTAGAACCAGTTCTAAGGCACCCCAACACCAACAAGCCTTTTGTAATTCAGGCAGACGCCAGCGTTGCAAGAGAACAACAAAGGGGCATTACATCCCTGTGCATATACATCAAGAAAACTCACCAAAACAGAGCAGAGATGGGCAGTCTGGGAAAAGGAGGCGTATGCAGTACGATGGGCTCTTCTCACATGGCGGCACTTTTTGGAGGGGAACAAAATTCCTTTCCAAGTGTGGACCGACCACAAGAACCTGGAAGCACTAAAAACGCCCAGGAAACTTACCCCTAAGCAATCACGGTGGTCACA